TTAAGGCTCTGCCCGATCTAAATCCAAAGGACAATGCTGCCATAGGAGAGCCACTCATTTTTAATTGGGGGAGGGCAGTCTTGGGAGAAAAACAAGACAGATCTTAAAGAAACAGATGAATTAGTTTCGAATGCAGCTGGATCCCGAGAAACGGCCGCCTTTATTTGGGCCATGGACGTGCTCAACCCGTAAGCCGGGTTACAGCTAACGGAGGCTGCTTTGTAAACCCCTTTCCCCTGTGTGAATATCAACAGGTTTGGAGAGAGCTTGTAAATCCACATGGATGTGTTTTTGGGAAGCCTGTAGCTGAACGGTAGAACGTTGGTTTCGCTTGTAGAAAGCTCCTTGGACACATTTATGGCATCATTTGCTTACCAGTGTGATGTACTGGATGAATGAGGATGCAGGAAATGTGGGTTTGAATCTCTGCTTGGCTGTAGAAGCTGATGGGGACGAAACACCTTAAATATTTCACTTACTTTGAAAGCCATATTAAGATTGCTATAAGTTGGTTCAGAATTGACGGCACATCATAGACCAGCTAATAATCTTTGAAAGCCATATTAAGATTGCTATAATTTGGTTCAGAATTGACGGCACATCATACACCAGCTAATAATTACCATATTTTTCTGTGTATAAGACACCCCCATGTATAAGACGCCCCCCACTTTTCTAATCGAAAATTAAATCTAAGTGGGGCTTAGCAAGTGTAGGGGGAAAGGGATCAAAGCTCTGCAGAATCACTTTGATCCCTGCTTTTCCCCTCCACTTGTTTTTGTTCTCTCCTCAGCTTACTTCCATGTATAACACAACCCTCAATTTTTAGTCTAAAGGCTTTAGACAAAAGTATAGTCTTATACACTGAAAAATATGGTACATACCATCCAGCTCATTTTGAAAGTGACCCTTTCCAGGTTTTCTAGGTTGAGGGTCCTTAGAAGTAGTTTACTGTTATTTTCTTGGGGTGGGGGCTCTCTGGAACTGTACAGCTTTCTCAAGGCTACACAGGCTGACTGTTTTTACAAAGTGCAGTGCCCCAGAGCCAGATGCCTAACCCTAGGGCTGAAATAGGTTCTGCCTGAAACTCAGGGTCACTGTGATCTCTCTCTAGAGAGGTCAGGGATCTTACTGGATATAAGGCACATTCTTTCCAATGTATGTGTGCTGTCTTTTCTAAGAAATCTAAGACCTCGGAGAGAATATTGGACCACCCTCTGCCAGATCTTCTTTGACTGGGATTCCTGCCTCGAGCAGGGAATTGGACTCAATGGCCACACAAGAATCTTTTCCGACTCCATGGTTCTGTGAGATCCTTGGTCCCGGGTCTCACTTGTGGGCTTTTGAGGATTAATGGACAGCCCATTCTGGAGGGGAAAAGATGTACTTATTGGGTGGCTCTTTCGCTTCTGATTCCAAGAGGCGCTTCTCTTGGAGGTTCTAAATTAGCCTCTTTGGTAGGAATGGGCAGAGTTCTTTCCTCCAGATCATGTTGGGAGAGCAGCTGATCACATTGGCTCTGCTGGTGAGGGCTGATGGGAACTGTAGTCCGGCCACTCCTTCAGGGGGTCAGTTTGCCCACCCCTGCTTTAAAGCCTAAAGCTCTTTAGGGACCGGGTTGCTCCTGGAATCTTCTCCATCTGCATGAGCAGAGCTTGTAAATCTTCTTTTTTTGAACGGAATGGGGGGGGGCGATAACAGGATTCTGGCTCTTGTAGTTACAAAAACAGGATCCTGCCCAAGCACTCCTCCAGCCTGTAAACGAGCCCTTTCGTCCGAGAACTTCATGTATCTCTTCCTTTCCTTTCCTCCCTGTTTTCTAGCCAAGGATTTTTTCCCAAGTCCATTTTGGCTTGGGTTCATTCTGGAGGGGTGTTTTTCCCCCCTCAACTAGCCAACAGTTTATCGTGGGTGGGAGCAGGCGTGTCAAAGGCGTCTGAAGCTGATTGGTCCGGACACAGGCTTGGAGCCAAAAGGCTGCGATTTTTTAACAAACGGAGGCTCTGGATTTCAGGGGTTTGGTAGAAATCTCTGTTCTGTTAACCTTCCTTGCTTATTAAAACATTTTTTTAAAAAAAATAAAAGCCGCTAGAGAGATGCTGCACCGTGCCTCTTGGCGGTGTGTTAAAAGAATGCAATTAAGAAAATATATACAGCTATGTTTGGTTTGTGAAACAAGCAGAGAGTGCCAGCAGTGGAAAGTTGTGCCATCTAACCCAGCGCTTGGAGAAGTTACTTTTTTTCTAGGACTACAGCTCTCAGATGTAAGAGCTAAGCTGGCTAGAAGGTTCTTGGAACTGGAGCCCCCAACAAAGCAATTTTCCAGCCAAATTTGATGTCAAACGCGGGGGCAAGGCAGAGTTACCGTATTTTTCCATGTATAAGACTATACTTTTCTCTAAAATCTTTAGACTAAAAATTGAGGGCCGTCTTATACATGGAAGTAAGCTGAGGAGAGAAAAAACCAAGTGGAGGGGAAAGCAGAGATCAAAGCGATCCTGCAGCGCTTTGATCCCTTTCCCCCTACACTTGCTAAGCCACACTTAGATTTCTTATACATGGGGGTGTCTTATACACGGAAAAATACGGTACTTTCGGACCATGAAAGGAGTGCACTCTGTAAATGCTCAGAGATTATCTTCCATTGGAAGGCAGAGACAGGTGTCCTGGCCCTCCTTTCCTGTGTTCCTTTGCCACAGAAGCTGCCAGATCACTCCTCTGGCCTTGTAGAGGGTGATTATTTGCCCGGAGCAAAGTAAGAGCCAAATCCTTAGGCTGCTGGTGAAAAAAAATATTTCATAAAAGTGTTTTTTTTCCCCAGATTCTTTTTCCCTCTAAGCCACAGCAGACCAAGTGCCAGGCTGAACCAGGGGGTGTTCAAGGCATTGAAACATAGCTCCCCTGATTATATTTTTAGAAGTTAGGGACCCGTTTTGGGAAGCAGAGTCCGAATGAGCCCCCCGACAGTGGGGTACGCGGGTGGGGGCTTTTGCTCCTTGCTCCCTGCTGCTGTCCTGCTCTGGACGAGGGGGGTCTCTGGGCTGCTTCCCCAAATGTTTTGGGGAACTTTGCTGGAATGCTGCCATGTTGAGTTTGGCCCTAGAGCATAGACAGCGTCTCTCTCCTGCCCCCCAAAAAAATCTGGTGGTGCTTTCTAGGCACGTGGGATTACAACTCCCTTCATCCTCAGCCTCCACAGCTAGTGGAGATGATGGGATGTGTCATCTGGCATATCTGGAGAGCACCAGATTGGGGGAGCCTCTGTGCCTTGATTTGGATTCCTGCCTTGAGCAGAGAATTGGACTCAACAGCCTTATAGGCTCCTTCCAACTTAGTTATTCTGTGATTTTCCACTCTGGGAGTTCTGCCTACGTTGCAGATACCTTACAAGCACTTAATGCGGTGCACCAGGGGAAGAGGTTAGAAGGGTTTGAGGTTTAGCTTGGCCTAGCTTTGTCAAGGCTTCCTGTTCCTGCCCCAGCGCTAGCTGGAAGCTTCTTTTCTGAGCAGGAAGCTTAGGCAGAGCTAAGCCAAGCTAAGGCTCAAAAACACCAGGAGTGGAGAATTACAGTATTCATAGTTCAGAAAATTTAAAAAAAATCCAATCCTGAATAATAACGCCATCTGTCATGTTTCAATCATCTCCCATTGGCATTGGCTGGAATCCTCCTCTCTTCTCCCAAACCTTCTGTCGGCCAAGAATAGATTTCTCCTGGATCTCACCTTTTTACTTTCAACTTCCTGGATATTTGAACAGTGTCAGTGGCCCATCTTTTGGTGTTCGCATATTTGGGCAGGTCTCTGCCTGTGGCGTTGAGTTCAAGCCCCTGTGGCTTTTGCAAACCCACATCTGGCAACACCCCATCCCTTGATTTTGCAGTTTAAAAAAAACAGGTTATTTTCTGTCTGTCAAAATTTGTCATCTCCTTACATTTCTCCTCTTTAAGAATTGGTCTTTTTGAATTACAGGGTGAAATCCAGTTGTTTGATACAGCCAGAGTAGGCCTATTGAGTCAGAGGGACTTGCATAAATGTTGTGCTTTAACAAGTCCCAGTCAGTGAAGGCCAGGGCAGTGGAGGGATAGGACTCCGGAGACCTGAGTTCAAATCCACACTCAGCCACGAAAACTTGTTGGAGGGTGGTGATGGGAAAGGTTGGTAAACGGAGTCCCCTGTTCACTGGGGGTGGAGGAGATGAGTAGCCTTCATAATTAAATTGTAAACCACCCAGAGAGTGCTTTAAGTGCTATGGGGCAGAACTATAAGCAGCATGCTTTGCTTTGAGAACCTCGTTAGGAAGTGACGGCTTTGGAAGTGACGGTATATAACAACTGTTGCAGAGTTATGAATTTCGGCCGAACTCTTCTAGCTCACAGTAGAAGTATGGGAAGATACAGAGCAGAATTATTTTCTAGAGTATAGCAGTCTTTAAGGGAGGCACCATGCCTATCATCCCAGCTTCCTTTTCCACTGAAGCTGCTAGCTTGCGGTTTTGCTGAAGCAACATTATTTTTCAATCATTATCCATGAGAGGCTGAAGCCCGTGTTCCCCCCCTGTGTTTTGGGGGGCCAGGGGCCTTGGCTTGATTTAGGTGCAGTAAGAATGTGATATTTATGAAGCTTAGGATGAGATTGGACAGCAGGTCTCCGAGGTCAGTTTAAGGAGGTCTATAGTCTTGGGCGGACCTTCTATGGATATGCTGGAGACCTATAGGGACAGTAACTAACCAGCTTTATAAAAAGCATTGGTTTGAAGCTTAATTCCATTTATACTCCCAAGGTTAGACTTTGACACCTGCATTCTAATGGGAGGTGGAGGTGAGTTTCCTTTCAGGTCATGTGAATGCCCTTTGAAATGGCAATTTTAACGGGTTAAAATTCTCCGTCTGCTTTAACGTTGATCCTAACGAGTCAACTTTCCAGTTTCTCACGTTTTAACGTCAATGCATCCATTTTGAAGCCAGAAATTCTGAGTTCTTGTCCCACACTTGCCTTTCCAGACCTGCCTCCGTCCGAATTCCTGCAGGTGGTCGATTCGACGTGGTTGGTGCTCAACGTCTCGTCCAGCGGAAGCTCTTCGGCCACCGTTCAGCCCATCGGAGTCACCAAAATCGCCAAGTCGGTCATTGGGCCCCTGGCGGAGCACAATGTCTCGGTCCTGATGCTCTCCACCTACCAGACTGACTTCATCCTGGTGAGCACAGAGGTGCCTTTGCCTGGGGGGGAGCAGCTGTGGCACCCCTTGAAGGCCACCCCTTTGAGGAAGGGAGCTCCTGCCCATTGGGAGGCTGCTAAGGTTTTCATGGCCTTCTTGAACAATCACGTAGCCAGGAATCTTATGGACTAAGAGCTGTTGGTAGATTCGTTTGCAGGTTTGCTGGTCTCATGGGTACGATCCCTGGCCGTGGTTATAATGGTTGGGAGGAGGGCCAAACACCCACGCAGACTCTAAAATCTGAGGTGGCAGCTTCTCCCCTTCCAACAGACATCAGTAGGATAGAGCAATATCCCGCTTAACCCTGTTTCCCCGAAAATAAGACTTAACCGGAAAATAAGCCCTAGTAGGATTTTTCAGGATGTTCGTCATATAAACCCTACTCCAAAAATAAGCCCCAGTTAAGTGAAACCCTGCCCTCCACCCTTGTGCAGCAACCAGAAGAAGAGGACATGACTGTATTTGAATAAATGTAGATGGTTATACTTACTATGCAAAAACCTTTGACTGGACCACAGCAAACTATGACAAGTTCTTAAAGAAATGGGAGTGCCTGACCACCTTATCCATCTCCTGAGAAATCTATACATGGGACAGGAAACAACAGTTAAAACTGGATATGGAACAACTGATTGGTTCAAAATTGGGAAAGGAGTACGACAAGGCTATATATTGTCTCGCTGCGCCGGAAGAAATCTCAACAACCTCCGATATGCAGATGATACCACTCTGCTGGCAGAAAGTGAGGAGGAATTAAGGAACTTCGTAATGAGGGTGAAAGAGGAGAGTGCAAAAAACGGTCTGAAGCTCAACATCAGAAAAACTAAAATCATGGCCACTGGTCCCATCACCTCCTGGCAAATAGAGGGGAAGATATGGAGGCAGTGACAGATTTTACTTTCTTGGGCTCCATGATCACTACAAATGGTGACAGCAGCCATGAAATTAAAAGACGCCTTCTTCTTGGAAGGAAAGCGATGACAAACCTAGCATCTTAAAAAGCAGAGAATCACCTTGCCGACAAAAGTACGTATAGTCAAAGCTATGGTTTTTCCAGTAGCGATGTATGGAAGTGAGAGCTGGACCATAATGAAGGCTGACTGCTGAAGAATTGATCCTTTTGAAATGTGGGGCTGGAGGAGGCTCTTGAAAGTCCCCTGGACTGCAAGGAGAACAAACCTATCCGTTTTGAAGGAAATCAACCCTGAGTGCTCACTGGAAGGACAGATCCTGAAACTGAGGATCCAATACTTTGGCCATCTGATGAGAAGAGAAGACTCCCTGGAAAAGACCCTGATGTTGGGAAAGTGTGAAGGCAAGAGGAGAAGGGGACGACAGAGGACGAGATGGTTGGACAGGGTCACCGAAGTGACCAACATGAATATGACCCAACTCCGGGAGGCAGCGGAGGACAGGAGGGCCTGGCGTGCTCTGGTCTGTGGGGTCACAAGGAGCCGGACACGGCTTAACGACTAAACAGCAACAGATAGTTGTACATAAAAAATAAGACATCCCCTGAAAATAAGCCGTAATGTGTTTTTTGGAACAAAAATTAATATAAGACCTTGTCTTATTTTCGGGGAAACATGGTAACGATCAAGATGCCTTCTAAGGAAATGGAGCGCTAGCTGAACCAGTGCTTAACAGGGGTCTTGGGGGACGGGGGCCCAGATCTCCTGGAGGTTTTGTCCTCCTCTTGTCTTATTTTCGGGGAAACACGGTAGCGATCAAGATGCCTTCTAAGGAAACGGAGCGCTAACAGGGGTCTCGGGGGACGGGGGCCCAGATCTCCTGGAGGCTTTGTCCTCCTTTTTGGCACTGGGGAGAATGGGCTAGGCTGTTTCCCTGTAGGCGTGGTCTACTTCTAGTACAGGGCAGGTAGAAGGGGCGGCAGGTGGGATCCTGGTTGGCTCCTGTTCGGCCTTGTAAACTCTTAAGGGTCCCATTTTTATCGGAGGAACCTCATAAGGTGGACTTCACTGCGCGGCCAATCTGATTGCACAAGTTCAGAGTGTTCCACCTGCTTTTTTCCTGATGTGACTCTTGGGAAAGATTTGGCCTGGTCTACGACTAAATTTATCCTCGTAGTGTGGTGTGGGGATTGCTGGGTACGGAGTTGCGCAAGGACATCACAGGAGTTCATGGCGGACGACAGTTTTGAGAATTTCGCAGCTGACGCGACCCTTTGTATCTCGGCTACAAGACCGGTGCTGACTTTGGGGGCTTCCGTTGCAGGTGCGGGAGAGAGACCTGCCCGTCGTGATTCACACCCTGGCCACAGAGTTCGAGATTTACAAAGAGGTGAACGGGGAGACGGTCCCTGCCAACTGTGAAGATGTGAGCAACGGGTTCCTCAAGCCGAAACCAAGTGAGTGTATTACCTGGGGTGGGGAGGTGGAGAGTCAAAGCAGTATATGTGTGTGTACAGAGCAGAGAGATACATACACTCTGTACGAGAGATGGGCCCCCATCTCCTCCTTCCAATCGCTCCCGGGTGCCATTCTCTTCCCAATCGACTAGCCACTCCTGGCAGAGGGAAGACAAGTCTCGCCTGCAAGGCTGTGGCACTCCGCAGCGACTGGAAGGGAGAGAGGGGCCGCTGGCAGATGTGTAAGTGGAAGATCTGGCCGCAGGGAGTGGACCCTTGTTAACCCCAGCTGTGCGGGGATATTAGTATACAAATACGAATTAAAACCCACCCACCCCAATGTCTAGTACAGAGTGTATCTCTTGGCAATATATAAATTTAAAAAAACCATGAACTGCAGTGGGACATGGCAGATGTGTAAGTGGAAGATCTGGCCCCAGGGAGTGGACCCTCATTAACCCCAACTGTGCGGGGATAGTTGAGGGCATTAGCATGCACACTGGGTTAAAACCCACCCACCCCAATGTCTAGTACAGAGTGTATCTCTTGGCAATATATAAATTTAAAAAAACCATGAACTGCAGTGGGACAATAAATAAATAGATAAAGAAAGAAAGAAATAATAATGTGCCATCAGGTCAGTTCCGACTTATAGTGACCCCTTTCAGGGTTTCCTAGGTACAGAATACTCAAAAGAAGCTTACCCTTCCCTTCTTTTGTGCAGCTGGCCCAGGGCCACCTAGGCTGGCTCTACGTGCAGGAAGCCCAGTGGGGGAATTGAACTCCCAGCCTCTGACTGCTCAAAGACTGTAGATCTGGGCATGACGGAGATGCTCACTGGAGGGCATTAGCATGCACACTGGGAACTATCCAGTGTGCATGCTAATGCGCTTATGCACACTATCCAACAAACAGCAACAGAGCATGGACAGAGTTCCGACTCCTGTCCTCTGAAGATGCCGGCCACAGAGACTGGCGAAACGTCAGGAAGAACAACCTTCAGAACACGGCCAAAGAGCCCGGAAAACCCACAATAACCATTAGATCCTGGCCATGAAAGCCTTCACGAATACATTTTAAAAGGCTTTGCTTGAAACTGAAAAGATCCTGAGGGTCAGCGTGAGGTGCCCGAACAGAAGCCGGTGGCCGTGTGGGGTTTCTGATGCTTCCCTCTCTTCTTTCCAGTGGGGAGTGCCACCGTCCACCCAGTGCAGAGCCCCCCAAACAGGTTCTGCATCCTGAGCATCGCCCCCGACACCTTGCCCGCCATCGCCACCATCCTCATGGACGTCCTGTTCTACTCGCCCAGGTAAGAGGTCTGTCGTGATGGGGCCAGGTTGAGTTTTCACTCCCTCCTTTACGGAATGGATTTGGAAAGGATTTTTCATTTAAGCTTAAATGAGTTATCATATTTCTTCTATCCGGTGACACTTTTGAGACTAATTCGCTCTCTCTTTTTCTGTGGACCATGGGCTGCTTCTGGAGATGCATGGAGAGTGGCCTTAGTAGACATTTACACCTCAGAGATTTATGACATTCATGTCTTATTCACAGAGGCCACATCTCCATGCATCTGAAAAGATGGCCACCCGTCCATTAAGGCTTCTGCCAGATAAAACTAGTTAGTTTTTAAGGTGACACAGAATTCCTGGTTGGTTTTGCTGCAGTAGACTAAAATGGCCACCTTCTTTTAAACAGTGTTATTAGGGATGTGCGTTTCGACTTTTGGGACAACAGATCCCATAATTCTCCTTCCTGGGGATCCCGCTTGGAGGACCAGACCTTATAGACTATCTAAGTTATGGTCATGTGGCAAGAAGGCCCAGCTTGGCAGGCTTCTTGCTTCGGATAGGCCTGTCTTCCTGTTTGAAAAAGAAGCGTCTCAGCCACCGTCATGGCAGCTTCCTTTTCGAAGAGGAAGTCAGGCCCGTCTAGGACATGAAGCCCGCCAGCTAGGCCTTCTCTCCAGGTGAGTGCAATTTAGGTGTCTGTAACATCTGGGTCCTGGTAGGTGGGACTCCCAGAAAGGAGAATTAAGGGATTGATCTGTAGTCCCAAAGAAGCCCAAAATCCAGATCCTTGAATGTTACTCTCGGTGGTGTCCCTCTTATCCCTTTGTTCTTCTTGCAACGCAGGAACTGCCAAAATCGCACCACTTCCCAGCAAACCCAGCCGGAATGTCTGCTCCGCTTCGCTTTTAGATACTGACTCCCATGACTTTTTGGGCCAAATATTTTCTTACGTACATTTCTGTCCTGTGGCATGCGTGGGTCTCTGCTTCCTGCACCATTTTCTCACAACCATCCTGGGAGGTGAGGCAGGACTTTTAGGGAGAGTGGCTGGCTCAAGTTCACCTCCTGAGATTCCTGGCTTCCTTGTAGGAAATGGGATTGCAGTTCTGCCAGGCGCCAGGATCTCCACCACAGAGGCTCTATACTGGTTCTCTTACAGAACTCCCCCTTTTCTAATAGCTGCATGTACTTTATAGTTAGGTGCTATGTACAGGGTCTACCTAGCAGGTAGCTATTTACCTGATCACCTATGGTGAATTAAGAGTTTTCTCCAGGTGAGCAGGCGAGGAAATCTTGGGAAAATGTGGCTCTTTCTCTTTTCTTCTCCCTTTATACTTCTTGCCTGTGAGGCTATGTGCAGGACGGTGAGAGACAGATGCCCATCAGAAGCTTCAATGGTTGTGTGTCTTTCTCCCTCCACATTTTCAGCCTTCCGAAGGAAACCACTCCAACTGGGCAAGACCTTGACTCCATCACGTTCTTCGCCTTCTCGCTGATTGAGGGGTACATCTCCATTGTCATGGATGCTGAGACCAAAAAGAAGTAAGTTGTTCCACCTCCAGGTTAGATCTGGGGCTGGGAGGGATTGGGTTTACTGCTCCAGGGAAATCTTAATCCTGCAACATCTCTGCAGGTTGAAAAAAAAACAGCTTATAGGCCACACATTTAATGTTCAATTATTGGACATAACCCGATGAGCCTGATTATTTCCTCCTTCCTATGTGTATCACATTTTTAGGAGCAGACAGTGGTTACTGGGGGTGTGGTGCTTAATCAATTGATACTTCAGGCGGCTGAAAAGTTAGGAGGGACCAAGAGTCAAGGATTGAGGTTCAGGGCTAGAGCATCGGCCCGCTTTCTGTGTGAAAGGTTTTAAGTTCAGTTCGTAACATTGCCTGTTAAAACTATATAAGTCTCATCCTTATATAGTTCATCACCAACACTTCGTGGGTGTTTGCATTTAGGCTTACGCACAGCAGAAAGAGTACAACTCATAGAGTTGGTTTGGTGGATCTTTTGCTGATCAAGTGGAAGTCTTGACTTTAGCATAAACTCATGTATCCAGGTGAGAGTCGGCTCAAGCGTACCAGACAAGACAAATTACGGAATTGCAGCCAGATCAAGGTGTGTCCAACCAAGCAGTAGTTGGAATCCTGTTGTGTAAATCTACAGTTGTGGAGAGGTGATGATGTGACAGGCTGGCGGTGAGGTTTGGTAGTTACCTACCCCTGTCCCGCAGCTTTTCCAACTTTCATGTAATCCGTTTCATGGTATGGAAGGTGTGGGAGCCGTGGGACAGATGGAGGAAGTCGATTGTTATCAAAAATTGCCTTTGCAAGGGAGGATTTTCAGTCCCTAGGGGAAACCAGACACTGCTGCCTTGAGCTTCATTTTATGGCAGAGCAGGATTGCACCCCAAACCCCGACACTACAGTTCCCAGAATTCCCCCTGCCAGCATTCGAGGAATGGTAATGAAAATGGAACATGTCTTTTTCCTCCTTGGGACAGCCAGGTGTCTTGGGGTTAGCCCCGTTTCTGAGAAGGCACCCAGAGGTGGCAATTAAATCCTCCTGTCCTTTACCAGGTTCCCCAGCGACCTTCTGCTGACCAGCTCCTCGGGGGAGCTTTGGAGGATGGTGAGGATTGGTGGGCAGCCTCTGGGTTTTGGTAAGTGGACGCCTGCAACCCTAACCCTTACCTTTCACAGCCCAAACTCCCCTTTTTCTAATAGCTTCATGTGCTTTATAGTTAGGTCCTATGTACAGGGTCTACCTAGCAGGTAGCTATTTACCTGATCACCTATGGTGAATTAAGAGTTTTCTCCAGGTGAGCAGGCGAGGAAATCTTGGGAAAATGTGGCTCTTTCTCTTTTCTTCTCCCTTTATACTTCTTGCCTGTGAGGCTATGTGCAGGACGGTGAGAGACAGATGCCCATCAGAAGGTTGTGTGGTGGGCAAAGCAGTGGGGTCATGCCACTTGCAGGGGAGAATTCCAGACGCATATACAGCCACCAGGGCAAGGAGCAGAGTCTGATCAGCCCAGAGTTAAGCTAACATCGTGCAGAGAAAAGCAAAATCAAGCCAGGCTTTTCTGTGTTTGGAAAGGTATAAGACAAGATGGCTGATGTTGAATATCTGTCCATTATTAGCTCTCCAGGCCCTAGGGGGCACATTTGACCCTCTAGGGCCTGCAGGCAGCCTGCGGGCTATATGTTGCCCACCTTGGGTGTAGCCTTATCTTTGTTTTGGATCTGGTACCCCAGACCGAGGAGACCCTCCGACCGAAATAACTTTGTAACGGGAGACCACTAGCAGTGGGAAGCAACAGCGGGAAATGGAAATTCTTTACGGACCTCCTCCGTGTTTTTGGAAAAGAAGGGGGTTGCGTCCTGCAGAGATGCTAACTTCCCCCCTCCCTGCTTGCTTCCTCAGATGAATGCGGGATTGTGGCTCAAATTGCCGAGCCCCTGGCTGACGCAGACATATCCGCCTATTACATCAGCACCTTCAACTTTGACCATGCCTTGGTAAGTCAGCCCTGTGGCCCTCGAAATGGCTCCCTGCTCGGGGATGAAGAGGCAGGACGCCACAGACGGCAGCCACAGACGGCTTTGCCTTGTGGCACTCCTCGAAAGCCCCATTTGGAATGTCCCCACCAAATGCGCCGGTGAGGTTGTGGGACTGAGAGAAGGGCTTCCCCTGGGCTCCCTGCTCGGGGATGAAGAGGCAGGAGGCCACGGCCGGCGGCCACAGACAGCTTTGCCTTGTGGCACTCCTCGAGAGCCCCATTTGGAATGGTTATGTTTTTCGGGCCCCGTTTCCCAGAATCCCCCAGGATAGCATGGCTGTTGTCAACACCGGATCTAGACCTTGAGAAACCACTGTCCAAAAACGGGTGATATATCTAAGCTGGGACTCCCTTCAACACAAGCTAACATTGTTTCCACACTTAGAGCTTGGAAACTTTGAAATTGGGAAGTTCAGAGACAGCCACAGACCTCGAATTTCATGAAGGTGAAAACCAGCATCCGCGAACAGTGACTGCAGGGTTAGGGGATGTGGCTTTCTTGATACAATAATTCCCTCAGCCTTCGCCAGGCTAAGCAGAGTAGGTGGAGGGGAATGCCACAGAGAAGCCCCTTTCCCGTGTCCCCACCAAATGAGGGTGGCGGGACTGAGAGAAAAGCCTCCCCTCATGATCTTAACACTGATCTGCTAATCAGGCAGATTTTAAAGAAGGACTTCTTGTAATGTAGTCATTCCCAACACATGTCCTTTGTTAAGGTGATCTGCACTTTTGAAATTGCAAGAGAAAGATTAAAAGGGCTTTCTGTTCTAGACATCGCCAGTCCTTTAGGCTTTCTGTTCTAGACATCTCCTGGCCCTACAATGAAGGGACTCCCACGGATCTTACCAAAAATGATCAGTTTATTCCACCATTGGGCAGAATACTCTGGTCCTTGCTCCCCGCTGTTTCCGAAGCTTCCCAGTGTCTTATGATGGCCACCCTACCGAGCAGGGTAAACGTCAACAGAATTCTGGCCAATGGGTCTTCATCGGTCCAATAAAGACCAAGCTGTCCGCAAATTCTAAGCATTGAAACAGAGGTACGAGTTGTTACATCTCGTGAAGTTGTCTCCAACTTAGAGTGGTCTTATGAATTAATTAAAGGTCTTCTCATTAACATCCCCGCTCAGGTCTTTCAGACTAAAGGCTGAGTCATTGAGTCAACCCGTGTCCATCTTTGGTCTTCCTCTTTTCCTGCTGTCTTCTGCTTTCCTTACGCTACTGTCTTTTTCCAGCGAAACTTACCTCCATGTGAGATGTCCAAAATACGGTAGTCTCATGATATGGTAGCCAACATGAATTTGACCAAACTCCGCGAGGCAGTGGAAGAGAGGAGGGCCTGGCATGCTCTGGTCCATGGGGTCACGAAGAGTCGGACACGACTAAATGACTAAACACGCACAACATGTTAGTCTAGTTTCTAGTGAAGGTGTTGTTGTTATTAATATGAGCTTCTGGTCTCTAGAAGTGGAGATAGTGTGAAACCTGAGGTTAAGGCAGATATCTGGAAGATGAGTCTATTCAACTGGACGTCTTTCTTGTTTGGCTGAAACGTTTCGCTACTCCAAGTAGCTTCTTCTGTCTGAGGAGAGTGGTAGGAGATTCCTGATAGATCCTCCATGTTGGCCTTCAGCCCATTCAGACCAGGGGGAAGTGAAACCAAGGAGGAAATGGTTATAGGAATCTATACAGTGGTGCCTCGCTTGATGATGATAATGCGTTCTGTTAAAATCACTGTTAAGAGAAATCGTCAAGCGAAATTGAAAAACCCATTGAAATGCATTGAAAACCATTCATTGCATTCCAATGGGTGAAATATTTCATTGTGCAGCGAAGATCCTCCATAGGGCGGCCATTTTCTGGTGCCTGTATAGCGAGGAATCCGTCCTTAACACAGCGGGGAGCCATTTTGCACAGCAGGCGGCCATTTTGAAACCCGACAATTAACTGTTTTTAGATCGTCGTAATGCGAAGAATCAGTTCCCGAAGCAGGGAACCAATTGTCGTGAAGCAAATTTTCCCGATTGGAACATCGTTTTGCGATTGCAATAGTGATTGCAAAAAACCCATCGTAAAGCGGATTCATCGTTTAACGAGGTAATTGTTAAGCAAGGCACCACTGTATTTCTGAACGCTTCATCCCTTGATCTCAACAGGTTCCAGTTAAGCGAGGCACCACTGTATTTCTGATCGCTTCATCCCTTGATCTCAATAGGTTCCGGAAGAAGGCATCGATCATGTCACCGAAGTGCTCCAGAAACGGCAGGAGAGCGGGAGATAGCTGCGGGAATCGCTACTGGCCAGTTGGAGAAAAGCGACCTAGTGGATCCTCTTGGCTCATTAGTGCCCGGCACGAGCATTCCTTGAACGAGGAGAGCACTCCGTACATGATTTGTTCTGGGGAGGGGGGCCTGGTGGTTTTTCCGTGTTTCTTGGCGAGCGGCCCATTCTGCGTGGAGAAAATGGCGCAGTCTCCGGCAGGAGGGACTTCTGTCCTTTGGCTCCCAGAAGGGAAGCCGGTGCCTTGTTTAGATATTTCCTGGAACCCAATGGAGGGGGTGCTGTTGCCCAGGGCAAATCTCAGTATTATCTAAAGTCTGGTCTGGCCTCCTGACCTCGTTCAGTCTTTTAATCTAGAACCGAGGAGGGGGCGTCCCTGTTCACCGCAGCTTCTGCCCGGTGGAGATTTTCAGTTTTTTTCTTTCTTTCTCTGCACATTTCCTCAGCTGCTTGGGTTGGAATTCCAAGCCTAGAACTTTTAGGGTTTTAGAAAAGGGTTCTTAAAGATGTCCCCTTTGATTTGCAGGTAGTAGCTCATTGTGTTGGAGTTGCACATCGTTCCCTATACGCTGTGGGGGTTGTTTTGTTTCTTATTGTTTCTTTTTTGTCTTTTTTGAAAATGCACAACACTTATGATAGGAAACACTGGAACCATTTCAGGGTGGGAGGCATCGGAACATTAGATGTGAAGACGGTGTGATCTGCCGTCTGCATCCGTCATCATTTTTCTCGTGGAGCGGACCGCTTGCCCCACAGGACGGCCGCCGAGCCTTCTCACGTTCTAATTCATCGGCTTGCCTGTCGGGCATGTGCCATTCGGAGGGTGAATACTTATGGTTTTGAACTACAACTCCCAGAAGTGTGGGAGTTGTAGTTCAAAGCCATCAAGCTGCCCTCCTGAGGTGCCATCCATTAACAGTATTAAGAGGATGCATTGATGGAGCGGAAACATTTCTTGTCAGATGTTCTAAGCTGCGTGGCCGGGGGAGATCTGGGGCAGAAAAGGCTTCCCCCATACACAGACACACCTTTTCATCTTATGTACACTTAAAATGCCTCTGAGTGCCTTATTGTGTTTGGCTATTAAGCTTCAAAACGATATTATGTAAGATAAAGTTCTTTTTCCTGGTTTCTGTTGCGCTAAGGAAGAGAAACCAGCTTTGTGAGGTAGGTGCATGAAGACATTGGCCAACCTTCCCACCTGATTTTTTTCCCCTATACTGGTGGGGTGGATGATAGTTTTTTGAGGCCGTGTCTTCCCAGATCTCCTCAGCGGTGCGGTTAAAAGGGGCCCTTGATGGAAAAAAAAATAAACATCTAAAGAAGTTCTCTGGAGCAATGAAAGATCAGTGGAAAAGTTGGGTGAGGTCCTATCTGATGAATGAATGATAATAAATGAATAAGTCAATAAATAAGTAAGTAAACCAGCCAGTACTATGTAGACAGAAGCCGTAGGTTTTCTGGAGCTTTATAAAGGCCACCTGAGGCCTCCAGACGTTGGTGGACTACAACTCCCATGATCTGCCACCAGGCTGTCTGGAGTGGGGCTGATAGGAGCTGTGGTCTCAGAACGCCTGGAAAGCCACAAGCCTTGGATCCGTTGGATTCACTCATTGGTTCTTTCTTGATCAGGGATCCCAAATCTCCCGGCTTCTGTTTTGAGCACCTCTGAGGGTTGTCTGCTGCTAAACCTGCGCCTTGATTAGAACGAGGGGTCGGGAGAGCGACTCTTGTCATTTGGGCCCTCTGGGGGCCTGGGGTGTCTCCCCCCCCCAGTTGTGAAGCAGTGTAATGCCTCCTTTTTTTCCCTTCCTAATCCAGGAAAAGTTTCGCTCATTTTAAAAGCAAATGTCTGGATATTTTCCAGAATAGGTGCTTTGTTGTTCTTTTTTGTGATAGCCAGGATTAAGCGATCATTGCCCAGGGGTAGAGAAATCACTGGCCATCCAGATGTCTTAGTGGCTTGTGGTAGAGGGGGGTGTGTGTGTGTGTGTCATAATCCAGAATACCTGGAGAGGGACAAAAGTTACTACTCGGTATGTGATTTTTCTGAGCTGTGTCCGAGCCTGTTTGGGGAAGGAAATCTCTGCTAATCCTTGTCCAAGCCGTGTGCGACACCAGCTTCCCCATCGCCTGTTACCTGCTCCTGGTTACTCTTCCTTGCTGACGTCCAGCAGTCTTACCTGTTACAGGTCAAGGGGAAAGCAGCGTGGTGGCCCAGACACCACCACATCTCAGACAGCTGAATGGTGGCACCATCGTGTCAGAAGGACGGAGCTGCGTCAAGGGAAGAGCGGATCCGTTCAGAGCCGGGAGGCTCGTTCCCTTTGCCCAGTGGGTGGATTGGCCCAACCCTTACGACGGTAGATCCTTTCATCCACAAATCAGTGTCTCTTCTAGCTTAAGCCAAAAATAATTGTTTCATTCTCTTTAGCAGAGCTGGAAATGATTCTCATTGCCTTTTCTTTCATGGCGAACGTTCTACTCTTTGCCAAGTTTAGAGCAGGGAGGTTTCTGAAGGCGCTGAGCCAATTTTGAGAGCGACCACACTCCCCAGCCATAGGTGATTGTCATGATGACCATCTTTGGTAGAGAAAAGTGGGCAGATAACAACCGTGGGAGATCAGAAATGCAAGGATGGGAATCGGAGCACCCCGTCAGGCAAAACACGGGAGTGGACCTGTTTTATCAGACAGGGAGCATCATAATGGGGCAACTTATGGCTACCGAAAAAAACATTTTTTGGGGGGGCTGCTTATTCAAGTTCCCATTTGGTGGTGAGCGCTCTGTTAAGCTTCTTCTCAATACCTGAATGTAAGCTTCTTTGGGCCCAGCTAGAATTCAGATTTCTTGATAAAGTTCTTTCCCCCTCCCTGCGGTTTTTTTTTGAGGGGGGGGCGCACAGTTTTAAGGTTTGTCAATAAAGGTCATTTTTTTTCAAAATCATCTTCAGGGTTTTTTTTTCCCCTCCCCTCCCTCCCTTCCATGCAAAACTAGAGCGAACTCTCTCCTTATGGAGCCTCTTGCTTGGAGGGTGTTCAGTTCTGAAGGTTCAACGTCCTGCTAGCACATCTTTGAAACTTGAATTTGATGCCTCCCTCCGAATTTAAACCACGTCTTGTATTTCTGTAGCTAGCAAGATTTATTTACAGTGGTGCCCCGCTAGACGATGATAATACGTTCCACTGAAA